CCAAACTGTTCTGTGATTCCTTGATATAAAGAAAAAATGGAAACAGTCAAATAATGGTCAAAAAGAAACTTTCCTTTTAAATTCAGGTTATCCAGGTTCTCTTCTTCCTTTTTCTGAAACTTTTGGTGTTAGCTGGTGCTTGCTGGGACTTGCTGAACTACAACAAAACACTGCAGACGTGTAACCTGAGTTAACAGAGCGTTAGCGTGTGAGACTTACCCGTGCTCCTTCCTTCTTCACCTTCAGTCCCCAAGTGGAGTTACCTCCGTATCTGGAGAGAATCAAGCAGCAAGCCAACGAAGCCTTCGCATGCCAGCTGTGGACACAAGCCATCCAGCTCTACAGCAAAGCTGTCCAGAAGGCCCCCAACAACGCCATGCTGTATGGAAACAGAGCGGCCGCCTACATGAAGCGCAAGTGGTAAGGAGAGCTCAGTGGCACGGGCACCGCTGGTGCCTGACCTCTGCGTACCAGGACACCTTGTTGTCCATAGTGAGGCACTTGGATTCCCTCTGCTGAGCAGGGCTGGGGTTGTTGGATCAAACCCTAAGTGCACAGAACAGTGGGATCGCACAGCAGCATGTGTGGGAGAAATTGTGGCCGAAGATACCGCACAGGCAAGCGCAGCTGGTGGCAGCTCATCGTTTTGCCTGCTGGCATGCTGAGTAACGTTCTGTTCCTTTCCTCTTTCAAAAGAAACTAAAAATCCACTTCTGAGTAACAGCATTATGAGCGTCTCCAAAGGTGTTTGATAGTTCTGATCTGCATTAGAGTACGTCTCTAATCTGTTGTCAACAGATGAGGTAATGGTTCCTATGCTTTGTAGCTGCGTATCCTGTGAGGTAAGGTTGTCGTAGGATGGCCTGGTGTTGCTTTGGTTGCTGCTTTATCCAAGGAACTAGTACTGCAGATAGTCAGATGTGACTTGGTGATTCCTATGTTACCCCAGCTAACCCGCCTTCCCCTTGACTGGAAACAAACCTCTCCGAGGGATCCGGGGAGGTGGTGAGTGGTGCCTCGGAGTCTGAGGGTGGATCTCTCTTGGTTGTTGCAAAATATGCCGTTAGGCTCCGCAGTAGGTAATGCCTTCTCTGACCAACAGCCAGAGCTGCGTCCGCAAGACGCAGCGGGGTTATGTTAGTATCTGTCCCCTTGAGCAGAGTAAAACTGAGCAGCATGACTTGCCGTTAACATATTTAAAATAGCTGTGGTCCTTCATCTACATGTGCTTTGTGAGGATATCCTTCTCCTCTCCCTGCTGAAATCCTCAATATGAATTCCTCCATCTTCTTGCCAAGATAAAGAGCAGCCAGCAGTTGTTGTGACTGTTGGTAACCGGCCTACTGGCTGTTTTGTAACAGGAGAGATTTGGGAGCTGCCTCAAAAAAAAGCCCTCAGTGTTCAGAGGGAGAAGAACAATAGGTTGGGATTAAGGAATGGAAGATAGAAGCTGAGCGGTGCTGATCTCATGAATGACATTTTTCTTATAGGGATGGTTTTTCCCGAAGGATGTTGGCAGGTTTGAACCTTTCTGCGTGTCAGCTACTGCTTTGCTACGGTTTTGGGTAGCAAGAAGACGTGAACGATGGGTTTCTGTGGCATGTGGTGAAATAGTACTGTGCTGGTGCCTTCTCCAGCGCAGAAGAGACGGGGCACTTCGCTGCTGGGGAGAGCTGCTGCTGTATGGCAGAGGGTGTCTGCGATGTCGCTGAGGAGGAGGGCGCAGGCACAGTCGCCCACGCTGTGTGTCTCTACGGTGTCCTTTGCATTGGGAGCAGGAACAGCTGTAGGCCACCCTGCGAAATACTGCAGGTCTGGCTTTGGCCTCGTTCTCGGAATAACAGAGAGATCTAGAAAAAAAGGAAGGGCTGTAATTTCCTCAGCTCCCCTTGCTCATCTCCCTTAAGATACCGCTCGTACTCTGCAGCACTTCTAAGGCTCTCCTGTTAAAATTTCCTCTAAGAGCCAACAGCATCACTCTCCAGATTGCTTTTAGCGGGCTGGGGTGACAGCACTTCCCTGATTTCTACTTAGAGCATTTTTGCAGAGGCTGAGTCAAGCCTGTGAGAATGGGAGAGGTCAGTGCCTGCTTTACATCTCGACGTGTACGTTTTCGCACCGGTCTGTTGGGCTGTCTGACACTGATAGTTGAAGGGGTTTTTGAGGGTGGCAAAGCAGCTTAATAGCCCCATCCGCTCAGAAAATGCGAAACGCCCATCTGCCATCACTGCAGGCAACTTGCATTCCCTCTTTCTTTGAATAAACGTGGCCTGATGCTGCGCATCTAGCCTCCTGGATTAACACAGCCACAGCGCTGCAAAGGCAGCCCTCAGGAACCGGGATTCTTCTGCTCCGCTGCAGATCTCGCGGACAAGGCGCTCCACCTCCTGTGCCGTGCCAGCAGGCTGTAGTGTGTGGCCAGTATCCACCTAGACGGGAGGGAGCAATAGGGTGAATGGTTTCCAGAGCGTGCTTGTGGCACTGAGTAGGCGTTGCTTAGCATGGAACCCAAAGATCTGGAGCTCCCTGTAACGAGTAGAGACGCAGGGTCACCTCTTCCCTGGCAAAGGCTCCGTGTCTTCTAAAAGTGTCACCCTGTGGAAGGTGTAGGGCAATTCACCCCCTTCCCCTTGGGACTGTTTCAGACTTTGGTAGGTGCAAAACATCGTTATTATTAGCATTATTATTATTATTAGCCATCATACGAAGAAATTCTTCCCGCAGAGGGTAGGAAGGCACTGGGACAGGTTGCCCAGAGAAGCTGTGGATGCCCCATCCGTGGCAGTGTCCAAGGCCAGGCTGGATGAGGCTTGGAGCAACCTGGTCTGGTGGAAGGTGTCCCTGCCCATGGCAGGGGGTGGGGCTGGGTGGGCTTTAAGGTCCCTTCAACCCAAATCGTTGGGATATAGAGACTTGTGGTCCCTCAAAATGATTTAGAGTCGATGCTGGTACACCAGGCCTGTCAGCCCTCGCTGACTTCTCAGCCTGTGTCAGTCTGAACTGAATACCAGCATGCAAGGCTCATCAAATCCTTCCTGCTTCCAGAGCACACACAGAGGCATTCTTATTCCCACAGCTGTGGAGCTTAGGGAAATCATGTCGTGTCCAGTAACTGTAAATAGGATATAAATATCCATTCTGATGTCAGTCTTATTTCTAAAACTTTAACATTTTTCCTATAAAGGTGGGAAAAAGCCATTGCTTCAGACCTGTGTCCATCAGTGCTATGAAGTGTGGCAGTTCTGCAGCTCCTTTGAGGGCTACAAGTGGCTGTGGGCAGGGCAGTGTGCTGCCACGCTGTGCGTCCACAAAGGGGCACGCGTGAGCTGCCGTGCTCCGAGGAGGCCCTGCTGCCTGGCAGGAGAGGCCTTGTGTCTGCTTGGCCAGAGGGCTTGTGCATCCTCCATCTTCAAAGGACTTCCCTAAATGTGCTCTCTCAGGGAGCTCTGCTCTGTCGGATTTAAAATGGCAGGTCAGGGCTTGCTGGGCTTCCCTGCGCGGTCACGTTACAGGGCTGCCTGTGTACGTGTGGGGCTGCGTTCGAGAAGCCGGGCTTGGTCAGATGGTGCCCCTGGGACGCAGCAAATGCTGTTAGTACATGAGCTTGTGGGGTGTCTTCTGGCAGAGAGAGAGTGGAGAAACAACAAGCTTTGGAGTGAAATGGGGGCTGGGAAATGACAGTGGGAAATGCATGCTGTTGCTGCTGGGGCTGTCTAATCCACCCCTCCCTTTTCTTAGGGATGGGGACCATTACGATGCTTTAAGAGACTGCTTGAAGGCCATCTCCTTGAATCCATGTCATCTGAAGGCCCATTTCCGACTTGCCCGCTGTCTCTTTGAACTCAAGTACGTGGCAGAAGCACTGGAGTGTCTGGATGACTTTAAAGGGAAGTTCCCCGAACAAGCACATAGCAGTGCCTGCGATGCACTAGACAGAGACATCAATGCAGCCCTCTTCTCCAAGAGCGATAACGGTGAGTGCTGGTGTTCGCTGTGGTTCTTCAAGGTTATACTAAAATCTAATGATTGGACAAGGAATTTTCTCCTTAAACTGCCCCTCTGAAGTAAAGCTCCATCTTCTGAGAGAGATTGATTGTTACCGTGCACAAAAACTGGCCTGAGCCTGTTCTTTCCTTGCGCCTGGCCCTGGTTTGCTCTTGAGCGAGAGCATGATAAAAAGAGCCTGATGTCCCCGGGAGATAATCTGAAGGAAGCTGGTGCTTTAGGCCCTGCTCCCTCCTAGAATTGTCCTTGGCTCTTCTCTAAAGCTGGTGGGGTCTCCTAGAGTGCTTTCTGTTCGCTGAGAACACATTCCTTCCCAAATCGTGATGAGGGAAATCTGTTGTCTTTCCAGCTGAAGACAAGAAAGGAGGTGGCCCCATCCGGCTGCGAGCCACAGGCCGCAAGGATTCCATCTCCGAGGATGAGATGGTGCTGAGGGAGCGCAGCTACGACTACAAATTCCGATATTGTGGCCACTGTAACACTACTACAGACATCAAAGAGGCCAATTTCTTTGGCAGGTATGTGGGCAGAGCATAATAGGGATGCAGGGCAGGAGCGTGAGCAGCAGCAGAATGCTCTCTTCCGTCAGATAAAGCCTCACGCGTAGCCCCGTGTGACTGTTCTTAAAATGACGTTGACACTGGCTTGCAGGGTTGAAAAAGATGACAGAAGCCTTCCTCCTCGTGTGGCTGCGTGAATAGCTGCTTCAGTAGCAGATCCACAGAGGACCCTGGGCTAGTGTTTCAGAAAAGCCATTTGGGATTGAAAGCGCGATTCCTGGGGTTGGAGGGAACCAACGCAGAAAGCTTTATCTGGATCCGTAAGCGTGAGGGGTAGCAGCCTGCTGATTATAGAAGCCAACTGAGATTGTGGTGTCTGCTGGAGACTAGCTCTGGCTCTGAGTCAAACTGGGATCTCCAGTCTCTGCTCCTCTCACCCTAGCAACGCGCAGTACATAGTCAGTGGGTCAGACGACGGCTCCTTCTTCATCTGGGAGAAAGAAACCACCAACCTTGTTAGAGTGCTGCAGGGAGACGAGTCGATTGTGAATTGTCTCCAGCCTCATCCCAGTTACTGCTTCTTGGCTACCAGCGGCATTGACCCCGTTGTACGACTGTGGAACCCCAGGCCAGAGGTGAGAGCCGCAGCCGTGGTGTTGCGAGATGGGACACATACTGGTCGTCGGCATCTCGTGACAGTTGCAGCAGCAGGAACAGCCCCTCTGGTCCCCGTGCTGTCTGGCTGAGTTCCCTCCCTTCTTGTCTTGCAGAGTGAAACCCTTAATGGCCGTGTGGTGGTAGACATGGAAGGCGCTTCCCAAGCCAACCAGAGGCGAATGAACGCAGACCCGCTGGAGGTGATGTTGCTGAATATGGGGTACCGGATTACAGGACTGACCAGTGGTGGGGCTGGAGGTTCAGATGACGAAGACAGCTCAGAGGGGCAAGTCCAGTGCCGGCCCAGCTAAAACAGAACTGCCTCTCCTTCCTCTAATTGTTTGGCTGAAAGGGAACCTAGTTTCCTTGGTCCTGAACTTTCTCTGATGAATGACTGCACTGTTTCGCACTATGCACAGAGTAGGACAAGCTGGCAGGGGCAGGAGCGGCCGTCTCTTTAAACCATCGCCACCACCTCCTCCTCCTCCCGTCAGGCTACTGAGCAGCAGGGCAGTGCAGTCCGCTGTTTGCCTTTAGTGGAATTTAGTCCCAATGGGGGTCTTTGGGTTGTCTGTAAGCAGTGTAAGCTGGTGGGGTTTTATCCCCAGAGCTGCTGTATGATCTGGTACAGGGGGATGTTGCCTGCATTCGTGCATTTGCGGAGGGGATGTTAAGTTCCTGAATAAAATACAAACCTAGGGCAGGGGTGATGGAATGAATTTACTGCAGTGATCTTGGTCTTGAAAGCTTGACTCTGTTTTTGTGCTACCAGCCTGTCTAGAGGCCCCTGGTTTAGGGTTGTTGGCCCTGAAGCACCTGGTTTGTCCCGTAACATCTTTCTCCTGGCTTCCATCTCTAACACGTCGTCACCAGATGTAGCTGTGTTGTATTAAGGACTGGATATTGCCTGTCTCGTCCCTTGGCATCTGTCTTGGTTGATGAATTGGTGAGGGCACTGAGTATGTGCAGCTCAGCAGGGCAGGACGTGCTTGCCTAGCTGATGCTTTCTGCTGTGGTCTCTGAACCCGTGGAGAAAGGCGACAGCAACGGGAGCAGGTTTGACCAGAGGCCTAGGACTCACGTAGCTAAAGCTGCTGAGGAAAGGGGCTGGTAACAGCACTCTTTCTGACCTTCTCTCTGTTGCCCAGAACGTGTGTAGCTGTATTCACCACCTCCTCTCCACGTCATCTCCGCTGGAGCTGAGAACGTTCCCACTGTGCGTGTGTTGCACCTAATGTTTTGAGCTTTTAGAGAGCAGCAATTTTGTGCAGTCAGCTGCTCTGTCTTGCCCAAGGTGGGCCTTCTCCACCTCGCTGTTGGTGTAACATCTGATGGATTAGTCGTCTTCTCAGGAACCCTCCTTCCTCTTCCCGCTCTCCACACACAGACTCTGGCTGCAAAGCCGGGGAGGAAACCTAGAAATGCAGCACTCTACTTCCATTCCTTCCCCTCTCGTGTAACACGCAGCCCTGTTCTTCCCTCTCGTGGTTGCCAAACACTAAATATCAAACAGATCTTACGCAGCTGTGCTACAACCGAACCCGAAGAGGTTGGTTTTTTTCTAGGACTATCAACTAAGACCAAAGAGCCCCTGGAGATCTTAACTGCTCTGCACTGTCTCGTATCTCTTACTGCGGAAGGTCTGAACATGCTAGTCTTGGTCCCAGGGGTGTGCGATGCGTGTCTGGGAGTGCGTGCGCATGTGTGTGTGCTGCGTTAGGGCCGTTCTTCCATGTGGTGCAATCCCTGGTCTTCCTGTTCCTGCTGGGGAAAGATGAGAAGCCTCCCTTTTCTTTCTCTGGCTGCTTCTGGCTGCCAGGCGTTGATGAGCGAGACTGCGCGCTGCTGGCTAATCAACGTTGCTGGCTTCCTCTCCCTTCCAGAACGGTCTTTGCGAGATGAGTGAGCCTTGTGCAGGAGGGAGAGAGGTCACAGAGGCTCGTAGCTGGCAGCATCTCTCCAAGGACACCGTTCCCTGCGTAGCGAGATCCCTCCCTCCCTTGTAATTGCAGTGGAGCTACCTGGGACCTGCTCTCGGCCCCTCAAAGGTGTCTTTCTTCTCCTTCCCGTGCGGGTGAAACCGAGCCTTAGCAAACCCGGGTTTGGGGCAGTATGCCAGACAGGACTGGCCGCCCTCGCGCCCTGCCGAGCTGTGATGGCAGAGCGGCCCTCTGTCTCCTGCCGAAGCAGAGCTCTCCTGGGACCATCAGGCACTTTGCAGTACCAGTGCCGTGGATGCGGGTGCTCCGTTTGCCTGGTCGGTTGTGCACAAGCTCCCCTACCCCAGGTGTACCCTGGCTCTTCAACACCCAGAGGCAACAGAAAATTCTCCTCACTTGGGTGGCGTTTTGTCATGGTCTGGCCTTTCCTCTTTTTGCTTAAGGCTTTCCTACTAGAAGCATCCTCTTTTTTTTTTTTTCTTTTTTTTTCCCTCCTCCTCCTCCCACTCAAACTTTTTTTTTCAGCTTTCAGTAGACAATGTCTGCAGACTTTGATTTGGTTTTTTTTTTTTAAGACTCGGCGACTGAGATGGAAAGCGTTGAAAAGAACAGACCTCTCCCTCCCCATTCACCTTTTGCTGTGGCAGCTATTTTTTGTTGGGTTTTACCCTTGGTGAGACAGTGCAGCTCTTCTACCTGCCAGTTGCAGTGCGAAAGCTCCAAGATTCCCTGCCTCTGCAGTGGATTGCTTTTTTTTTTTTTTTTTAATGGCTGCTTTAGTTAAAAATATAAATAATAATGGGGAGAGAAGGGGAGAGAAAAATCTTTCTGCCTCTAGCCCCTTTTCCCCTCTTTGCGGGCAGATTACCTGCTTTGTTGCTTGTTAATGAGGAATTTGTATTTATTGGTGAAGGAAAAAACCATGCTGGGGAAGTAGGGAGAAGATGCTGCTTTATTGACCTCTGCTGTTTACTTCACCCTCCTCTTTGGGAAAGCTTCTTCCTGCTCTTTCTGGTTAACTCTTTCCAGCCTGGGTTATGCAGGGATGCCTCTATTTTTGTATTCTAGCCATGGGCTCGCCGTTAGGAGACTCTAGGATTCTCTTGGCGTCGCAGTGACCATCGCTTCTCGCTTTTTCAAGCACTAAAGATGATCATCTCGTAAACTTTGCCTGTGCAGTTGTAGAGGTAACACACAAGCCTTACTGCCCTCGTGAGAAGGAGCAGAAAACTTGTTTCTCTGGTCCCTGGAAGAGAAAGGGTTAAGCAATTAAAACAATTCTTTGTTCTAGTTCTTTCTTGGTGTCATTTTGTTTGGGGGATTGTGCTGGCTTTGTTCTACCTTTCTTCTCCGTGGAGGTGGACACGGGTGGGCGGAGGGCGGCCTGCTTGGGCTGGATGTTGTCTGTTCCACAGTCCTGCTTCATGGGGAAGAGAGGCTGCAGGAAACTTGAGTGGGAAGGGGTCTGGGGAGCACGAAACACGGCTGGTAAGCTGTGGTGGCTACCGAGTTAGTGCTGAAGGTGGTTTTTCCAGGTGTGGGAGCTGAGATCTGTCGGTGGAGCCAGGGCCGGGGCTGTGCTCGGGAGCAGAGTCCACCTCCGGCGTGGTTTAGAGCTGAAGCTGCAAACTGGGGTGAGGATGAGAACGGCTGCTGGGGGCTTGCTGGGGAGAAGTGATGCACAGAATGATGGATGATGCTGTAATGGAGTTAGTTTCTCTGAATCAGGTTTTGTCAGGGTGGGGGGTAAAATTGATGAAATCCTTGTTGGGTCCCTGCTGAGCCCAAGAGTTAGAGGTGAGCGAGGGGGAGGCAAAAAGCCGGGTGAGGAAAACAGCCCATCCTCGCCTTTCAGCTCTTCTTAAATAGCCTCTTGCCCTGAGAAGCAGAGCTCGGGTGACTTAGGCTGTGGGGCAGAGCCAAGGTCACCTGCCCGAGTCACCGTGTTACTGACTGATCCGAGACATTTCCGCTGTCGGAAACAGCGCGCTTACTGCCTTAAAGTGCCTCACGCTCAGCGGGGTGTGTTGGACATCGCTGTTCAGACCCAGAGAGAGTCCCTTGCTAAAGGATACCGCAAACTCGCTTTCTCCTCTGGGCTCCTGCTGCAAAACCTCCCAAATACTTTCCTGCCCTCCAGCCTGCAGAATGCCAGGCCTTAAGTAAGAGGTGGAAAACCAGTCCGCTATTTTCAGAATCCATTTGAATTCTCCTCTTAAAAATTCCCACTGGATGCCTTTCAGCTGGAGACCTTCTGAGGCCTCTTCATTTCAAATCCTGTCTGATATAAATTATTGCTTTAAAAGATGGCTCTGCTCAACGAAAGCAGTGTGCATCCACCGTTGGAATTGTGGCAATCCGCTAATTCGGACAGATCTTGGACTGGTTGGAGAAAGAGGAAGATGGAAGGGGAAGCTGAGTGGTTGAGTTGTGGGTGGAAATGGCAAGAAGGCCTGAGAGAATGAGTTGTATTTGTAATTTGGGTAAGGGGATTGGGTTGAGAAGCCATGGGCTTTTGGATGTAGGGGAGGGGAGCGATCCCAGCCCTATGGATGAGTTCACTTTTCTCCAGTGTAACTGCTCACAGTGCCCGGAACAAGCCTGCCAAGGGCTCAAGATGGCTCCTGTCTCTGAGCAAAATGGGAGCAGGATGTCAGAGGCTGACTGCTGTTGCAGCGAGGAATTCGGTCTCGTGCTCCTCGTAGCAGGTTCAGGCCTTGCTGCTGAAGCAGGGCTGATGGGGACCCCCTCCGGGGCTGGCGAGGAGGGAAGGTTGGGCCCGTTTGTGGGTTTTCAACTGCGAAATCAGCATGACCTGCACTCTGAGCGCTCCCACCTTCTGCCCCTCGTCCCTGAGAAAACTGGTGGCTTTTCCTTTAAACATAAAAGTTGCCCTGTGGCTTGGCTGTGTCGGTGGGAGAGAGAGAAGAGAATGAAATGCAGCTTTCAAGTGACAGGGAAGCAGCAAAGACCTGAAGGTTAAAGCTGAGGGGTGAGGTGGCTTAGGGGCGTGCTTTTGGGGTGGGTGGCTGAGCCTGCGTCTGTTCTCACCCTGGTGAGTAGCACCATCATCAATACGGAGGAGAGTGACGTTTTTGGTTCACGCTGAGCGATTAGAGGCTGTCAGATTGCAGCAGGCACAGACCACGGGAAGGGAACAACAAAAAACGCAAAGCAACCCACCCCAGCATCACCTCCCGGGCGGGGGAAGGACGCCTCGGTGTCCTCCATCAGCCTGTGCCTGGGTGACATTTTAAACAGACTCCTGCACGCGGTGTCGCCGGCTGCTGCCTCGGTTGTCAATGTCAGAAGGGGGAGGGGATCTCTTCCTTGAGTGGTTTGGTTCTGGCAGCCCCTGTAATGTTTGAGCTGTCACAACAGGGAAGGTTCCCAAGGAAGCCGCTTACTGAACGAGAGCTGGCTGGGTGCCTGCTTCTTTCAGGCTCAGAGATGAGCCAGGGTAGAAAGGGGAGGTAACCGAATCCCTTCCAGGCCGAGCTCCGGCTAGAGCCATGGCGGCGTGCGCTTGGACAAACCCAAACCGGCGTGCGGCCCAGTCCGCTCCCTCCCGGCGCGGCCAGGTTCTCCTCAGGGAAGGGCTCCGCGTCGCCGGGGTGCGAGGGATGCAGCGAGCAAGCAGAATGTTGTCCCGAGGATGTGTTGGGCCGACGGGAGGTAGAGCGGCTTCCTTGCGGACAGCGGGAGCGAGGAGCCGTCGGTGGCAAGTCTCTGGCAGAAGTGGGAGTAAAACCTTTTGTTTCTCGTCAGATGGGAGATTG